TTGGGGGCAAACCAGGAGGCAAACGTAAATCGAAGACGAACCGTAAAGTGGTTGAATCGCCAGCTGCCGACAAAGCAGATGCCGAAGAAACGGGAGTTGATCACGCTGAAATACAACGTGCCGTCGAAGATGTGATACAATTTTTGCAAGACAATGTTTGCGATTCGGAACAGTCGACATCCGCCACAACTGCCAATGCAGAAAAGCAGGGGCCTGAACATATCAACCCAGCGAGTACGCAACAAAGCGTCGATGTCACCAAAGAAATGGTACAAGAAAATGTATGCGATACAGAACAATCAACACTTGCGAGTTTCCTCGAAAAACAAACTATTAAACATAAATCAAAGAAAGCTTAGAAAGAACTCCCGTGTGCTGAGAGTATTGGAGACACATTAAAAATTAAAATTACTTGAACTTGAGATATTGATGGAAACACAGAAAACTAATTATGCAAATAAGGTAACTAATATGAACAGATTTAAGTGTAAAACTAATAAGGTCTGCACAATGTACCAATTTCATTGAAATGTGATTAGAAACAAAAAATATTAATTATTATGGTAATTAGAGAATTAATATAAACAGATTTTAACCCAAAATTAGTCAGGCTGTCTATTGTCTTTGAGCATTTTATTTCCTGGATGCAAAATATTATCTGTCAATTGGTCTTCTAGCGGCATTATTTATTCAAGTGTGATGATGAATACTCGAGATATCAGTATTAATTAATTATGTTAATTAGGTGATTAATAAGCATAAATATTTAACAAAAACAAATATGGTGTATAGTCCTAGGTTCATTGAAATGTGATGGGTACTCTTTAAAAATTTTCATTAAAATCCAATGAGTGGTTTTTTTAGACAGTGCAACAGTCATAAATTTTGGATTGCGTTAAAAAAAAAAACGACCCTGGTACGTCAAATACACTTTTTTTTCCTAATTTTATTGGTAACGAAATTATATTCTAAACGAAGTAAAAACTAACACAACTGCCGAGCAACAAATGATCACGGTTGCGCAATCCAGTCATGCTAAGTTTCAAGATTGTCGATTACCGGTATTATTCAGTAGTGATTATAATAACGTAACAAAATTTGTTGAATTGTTATGAAATGCAAATAAAATTCAACTTCGTTTCGTCGTAAGCAAATAATTCCGGTCGCAAATTAACGCTCGATGCTTTCGAGTATCCGCCATGTTCCTTGTCTTGCATGGTTAACCTAATAGGTCAAATCGCTAATTAACCAATAAAAATGCTGGATGACGCCAACGTGTTCAAATTACCATAGCTCATTTAAATATGTTAATGTTATTGAACGCAACGCGGAAGAGATTTGCCGATGTTGTAGTACGATCTTTTGGCTTGGCTTTTGATGGGAAAACGGCATGATTTTTTTTAAATCAAAAAATTAGTTCTTTTTAAAAAATAAACTGAGCATTTGAAGAATAATTTAACATCGTTTACAGTGACAACAACTCGAACCAAAACGAAGATTACGCACTTTCGCTAGTCACAAAAAACATACTCTTGAATAAAAACTCTATTTAGGCGTCAGGAGATTGTAATGTCCGAAAAATTACGCCTAAATATTTAAATAACAAATATTAAATAAAATCTGCCGAAAAATCGCCGATTTCTTGGTCCCATTTTATTTTTTTAAAAACCCAAACTGCCCAGAGGCGAATTTACTGCAGAATCTGGTCCAAGTACTAGTATGTACAAATTTTGGGTGTATTGTTTTCTTGGGACAATATTAATCGAAACAATGAACTATTTAATTATATAACACAAGT